TCATAAGGTCCCTTTCCTAACAACATATCTAGATTTCTCTGAGGATAACCAGCTGCTGCATTTCGCCTAGCCGTCTCCTTGCAAAATTCCTCATTGGCAACCTTCCATAACAGGTATTGTCCTCCATTTAGCACAGCTTTACACATATTAGCCCAAGCTGCTGGCGTCATGTTCAAGTTGTTAATGGATTCGACCATGCTTACAGTGAAGGGTGCTTGAGGACCATAGGTTGTTACAGCCTCTTTTAGCTGCTTCACTGTTTTGAAATTTAAAACTTGGTAAAATCGCTGCCCTCCTGCCTCAAATACAGGGCATGTTAATATTTGAGATCTTGTCTCAGGATCCCAACTATCAACTGCGGGGGTTGGGGGCCTCCCAGCATATGGAGGTGGCGCTGTTGGTTGGACACTTACGCCCTCTGGTGATAGAAAGGTGTTAGTAGCAGTCTCCTGTAGAGGTGGTGCTGTTGGTTGGACACTTACACCCTCTGGTGATAGAAAGGTGTTAGTAGCAGTCTCCTGTTGTAACTTTCCCCCTGATGGCTTTTTCTGTTTTACACTTTCTTTCTCTGTCTGACTAGGTGGAGAGGCCTTCTCTTTTACTTGAATCTTTTCCTCTAACTTGAGAGACCTTCTCTTTTACTTGAATCATTATGTCTTCTCCTTCCTCTACCATTGTCTGAACTGAAGGCTTTGGACTAAGCAAACAAGATACGAATGTCCACAATGGCAATGTGCCAACTGGCAGAGTCCCTGGGCTTTTCTTTTCTATTCTTTTTAAATCTTCACCATGATGGTTCCGTTGTGATATATTTAACAACTCCTCCTTAAAAAGCCATGGGCTACATTTTTGTATTGTATCAACGTATGCCCTGACTGCTCTTGATTTTACTGGGATGCCTCCTTCCTCTAACAATTTACTTAACACTCTTTCAGTTTGTTTTTTACTAATTTCTGATCCCGTATTTCTACTATAATACAACCCAACAAGATGACGCCAAACAAAACCGAGACAGAATGAAATAAAAAGGGAACAACAAAAAGTCATTATAGCCTTTCTATCCTCCTGACATGTGCATCCGTCCTTTCTCCCTATCTGTTCCTCAGACGTAAATAGTTTTTCCTCAGATGTGAGCGGTTTTTCTTCCGTCTCACTCATCTCCAGGGACAGGCAACTTAAAACAAAAGTGAAGCAAAATAAAAGAGGAATCTTAAAATGGCTACCCATCCTCTCGCCCCGCCCTCAGGGGCGAGCAGTTTCACTTACCCTCAGTCGCTCCCCGTGCGAGCCACCAAATGCCGCAGTCTGGCTGGGCACAATCAGGAGCCACTTGTCAAAAGAAACTAACTTTATTTTTAGAACCACACACGCCAAACAAAACAGCCTCTCAGGAAAAACCCTCAGAGCCTCAACTGCCACCACCGGCTTTCCACAAGCCTCTCTCTCCCACACAAGCTTCTCTCCACCTCCCACAATCCTCCTGCTCTTGAGGCCGATTGGCTGGGTCACGTGGGCGGAGCCAAAAAAGTCCCCCAATGAGCAGCTCCGTGGTCTGAAAGGGCAGGGAAACAGCCCAATGAGCATCACCGCAGAGGAGCCAATCAGCTAGATGTTGCTGGGGCCGAGGAGCCAATCAGCTAGATGTTGAGAGCCACAGCCGGAGGGGCCCCAGCAAACTTCCAGCTGCCAGCAAACTTCCAGCTGCTGGCTGATGATTGGCTCACAGCGGCCCCAGCAACATCTAGCTGATTGGCTCCTCTGCGGTGATGCTCATTGGGCTGTTTCCCTGCCCTTTCAGACCACGGAGCTGCTCATTGGGGGACTTTTTTGGCTCCGCCCACGTGACCCAGCCAATCGGCCTCAAGAGCAGGAGGATTGTGGGAGGTGGAGAGAAGCTTGTGTGGGAGAGAGAGGCTTATGGAAAGCCGGTGGTGGCAGTTGAGGCTCTGAGGGTTTTTCCTGAGAGGCTGTTTTGTTTGGCGTGTGTGGTTCTAAAAATAAAGTTAGTTTCTTTTGACAAGTGGCTCCTGATTGTGCCCAGCCAGACTGCGGCAAGGACGTGAGCAAGAGCCAATGGGGACAAGCAGAAAGGGCAAGGCGCAGGTCCAGGGCTCTCCTGGGCTTCGAGAGCAATTGGGGCAGGTTCTGACCCACTGAGTAGTAAGAGGAAGCTAGGGGTCTGTCATTAGTGAACAAGGGAAAGGGGAGAGGCGAGCGGGGTCCAAATGAGACGCGGAATGAATGGCGGGGTTGGGCAGTGACCGTCCTGCAGCCGTCACAGTGGAAACGGGCATCATCCACCCGCAGGCAGGAACTGCCAGCGCCTGCCAATCCTGGAGCAGGAGGTTTGCAGCTCTCATGGGGTCTTCCCCCAGAGGATGCGTTAATTGCAAGGGAGAAAACGGAGATATTGGCCAGTCCTCACCCCGCCAGTCACTGTTCATATCACCAGGAGGAGGCCATTGCGTACCTGCAGGCGTGGCACCCTGGGTGATACGGCTCTCCTGCGTAGGACTGCAGCCGAGAATGCAAGAGCTGAATCCAATCAGAGGGAACATCAGATGCCACCAAATTGAACATTTTGTGACTCTTCAAAAATATTATTGCCATGAGTGGCCAAGGTGGGCTGAGGGGATGTTCCAAGTTAACAGGGACGTGAAAATGAGATGGAATCAGCGATCCCGGACTGTCTCCTGTCCAGAAAGGAGAGAATATGCTCTAAAGGACTCGCTGAGGCCATGGATAAAATTGGACTCTGGACAAAGTTGGAAGTATTGGGATGTAGCTCAGTAGCAAAGCATCCCAGGTTCAGTCCCCAGTATCTCCCCCCCACACACACAAAAAAATCAAGTGTACATTGGTACCTGGGCACTTCTGAGGCAGGTCTCTCAGACTGTGCCCCTGTGTTAATGTTCCTGAGTTTGGTAACAGCAAAGTAGAAGATATGATAAAAACTGAGCAGGTGCGTTGGTGTACACCTGTCACCCCAGTGGCTTGGGAGGCTTGCAATCAGGAGGATTGCAAGTTCAGGGCCAGCCTCAGCAACTTAGCAAGGCCCTACACAACTTAGCAAGACCCCGTCGCGAAATGAAAAATAAAAAGGAGGCTGGGGATGTGGCTCAGTGGTTAAGCACTCCTGATTTAAATTCTTGGTACCAAAAAACGGTATTAAGGATGGAGGAAACTGATTATGCAGTAACTCACATGTGACTCAGAAAGAATGAATTACATAGAATTCAGTGTCAGTTTTTGATCACTGTCATGAAATACCTGAATAATCATCTTACAGAGGCTTATTTTGGTTCACTGTTTGGAAGGTTCCAGTGCATGGTTGGTTGGCCCCATGAATTTGGGGCTGTGGTGAGGCAGCACGTGACAGAGGAAACAAGGCAGAATGACACTGCTTGTGTCCCAGCCAGGGAGCGAGGAGGGCGCTGGGCTTCACAGCCCCGTCCTGGCCATGTCCCCTCTAACCCAAGGGCCTCCCATTGGGTCCTGCCCTCCAAAGCTTCCCCACCTCCCAGTGGCGCCACTCTGGGGACCAGAGGGTCACTTACCTACACCACAGCAGACACATTTGGCAAAAATATTTAAAATTGGTGGATTTGGATAAGGAATATACGGGAGTTATTTATTCGAGTTTTTCACCTTTTCTGCGAGTAGTTATTTCAAAATAAAAAATGTGCATGGACAGTGCTGACCAATTCTGCCAGTAGATGGATAAGCAAGGAGGTAAAGTAAAGGTAAAGTATAGCAAGATGTTGGCTTTCGTGGAACCGCAGTGGTGAGTGGGTGTGTGTGGTGTGACTCTTTCAGTATTCTTTGAGCATTTTCATAGTGACTTGTAGAAGGGAAAATAAACCTCTGTGTGTTGCTGGGAACGGAACCCAGGGCCTGGCCATGCTAGGCAAGTGCTCTGTCGCTGAGCCATATCCCAGCCCCTAAACCTGTGTTTTTAAATCCCAGTCTACGTGTAACTGTACTCAAGTACTTTTAAAGCTTCGTTCCAACAGGGTTAGTTTCTCTGCTCTGGAGGCTCCTTAGCCAGACAGTGCTGTGTGTGAACACACCCTATCTCGGCCTGGCTGGCTCGCAGCCTGGAGTTCTCCCAGTCTGCTTGCCTGCCCCAGTGAGCACTTAATTATGAAGCTGGCTCGTGCAGCTTCATGTTGATGCTTTCAGAATGTGAGATTCCTTCACAAATGACTTATGCAGCAGTTTCTTAATTTAAACTGTTTGACAGTAAATTTTTGAGAGGCACCTGTGGCAGGGAGTTAGATTTACTTTAGAAACAGTACCCCTTTGGTCCTTCGGGGACCTTTCAGTTGGGACCTAGTGTGCTTCGGAGTGGGCAGTGTACATTGGTACCTGGGCACTTCTGAGGCAGGTCTCTCAGACTGTGCCCCTGTCCTCAGGTCACACCGTGGCCGTGGACCCCACTGCTCAACGGCATCCGACTCCTGTGCACTGATGCAGTGAAGACCCAGGGCCATGGTGGGCTGGAATAGGGTCTGCAGACTGTGGCCACATGTAGCCTGTCACATGTTCGGGGGAGTAAAGGTTTATTGGCACACAGACACCCGCATTTGTTCACAGGTTGGCTGTGACCTCTTTCGTGCTGCTGTATCAGGGCTGAGTCGTCATCATGGACTGCAGGCCCCTTACAGAGGATATTTATCCAGCCCTAGAATAGCAGCAGCTGGGGGCAGTGGAGAGCACAGTGCTTTCCGCCTGCAAACCACCCTCTCAGCCCCCAGCTGTGCTTTGGCTCCATTTCACGGATAGGGCTTGAGACTGAGGTTAAATTGCTTCCCAAGACTGAGGTAGAACGCAGAGGGAGAAGGGCCAGCTCAGACGGAGGCGGAGCCCGACCGAACCCTAATCCTGCATATCTTGAGCAGTCCAGGCTGACCCCGTTGTAATCGCCATTAATGAAAGAGGGTAGTCTTTTTAAAAAATACCCAACCTTTGTTAAATAAGGCCTGTCTTTTGTTTTACAGCTTCAGTCAATCATTAAGAAAGTGATTGCCTACTTCCATGACTTCTCAGTTCTTTTCTCGGTGGTAAGTAGCACTTCTTAGTTACCTTTGGAAATCTGTATCTTATGCCTCAATATTTTTTAAAAATATTTTTTTTAGTTATATGTGGACAGAATATCTCTTGTTTGTTCATTTCTATGTGGTGCTGAGGATCGAATCCAGTGTCACCTGTGCAAGGCAAGCGCTCTGCCACTGAGCCACAACCGCAGCCCCAGTAACGTTTTCTTGACACCGCAGGCTGAGACATACTGTTCTTTTCTATAAACCAATTAAGCTAATAACTTCATACATAATTGTGTCCTAACAACTTAAGCAGCTTTAGGAAAATAATACACATAAAACTGAAAGAAAACGTTATTCCCATTCAGGTCATTACTGACCAGTGAGGTGTGTACACCTGCTGGGCCTGACGTAGCTTCTCAAACCTTGCTTTCATGTCCTCTTGCACATGGGATTTCACACAGTACAGGTTGTGCTTCCTTTATCCAAAGAGTTTAAGATTTCTGATTTTTTTTTTTTTAATACTTGCATGGACTTTATTGACTGAGGCTCTCTGATCCTAAAATTCATTTTTCAGATTAGGGAAGCCCAAGTTGCACTTGGTTTTTATGCAAGTTAATGTTGAAACTGTGAAATAGATTGAACTAGTAGTTGTCTCATCATCTGACAAGAGTTGAGATTTATTACATTTCCCTCAACAAATGTAAAATGCCTTTAAAACGTCCCTTTGAGTAAGCTGAGTGCCTTGAGCTAGTAGGAATCTAGGCGATTTTTGTCCCTTAGCTTCTGTCTTCTGGGTTCCACTTGTATGTACTTACAGGATCTTATGGTGTCTTCTTTTTTTGATAGCATAAGCTGATAGGTCTTGGACATGTGCCATATCCCCAGCCCTGTGCTGGGACTTTCCACTCTACCCCACACCATTTTCACACCAGCCCTGGGAAGTCAGAGCGATTATCATCCCTACTCGCCAGATGAGAAACCGGAGGCTGGAAGAGTTGGAATGACCTGCACAGGGTCACAGTCACCAGGGGCAGGGGCAGGACCCAGAGCTGGAGAGTTGTGTTTTGAGGCCACACTTTTGAGTGTGTGTTTTGAGCTCAGCTGGCTGCTCTTTGCTGCTCATCCGTACACTTACAAGAAGATTGATGTGGCCGCCTAGGAAAGCTGATGGTCACCTACAGGCTTCCCAGATGGTGTGCTAAAATGTTACCTGGTCCTAGCACCAATCCTTGGGACACACATTTTGTAGTTCAGATTGACTATGCCTTATCCGAAATGCTTAGGACCCAGAAGTACTTCCGATTTTTTGGATTTTGGAATATTTTCATATATGTGATGAGACCTTGGAGATGGGACCTCAATCAAAACCCAGAATTCCTTTGTTTCATATATACCTTACACACCTGGCCTGAAGGTGATTTTATACAGTGTCTTAATTTTTTGCATGAAACAGTTTCATGGTGTGGGACTTTCCATTTGTAGCATCACGTGGTGCTCAAAATGTTTTGGATTTTGGAGCATTTTGGATTTTCGGATTAGGAATGCTCAGCCTGGAGTTTTTTTAGAACTTTATATTCCATCCATGGCTGTCAAGAACATCCAGAATTTGGAGCATTTTAGATTTTCAGATCAGAGATTCTCAACATGTAACAGTTTTCAGAGGCCCTGGGTGGGTCTTTCAGGGGAGCCCTGAGCACCTTCTGCTTTTCTGGCACCCCCTACCCACCCCCACACACAAACTACTAATTCCTTCCAATTACCTATGCAATTGAATGTAGAGTGTTTTCTTTGTTTTTAGGAAAAATTCCTGCCATTTCTGGACATGTTCCAAAAAGAGAGTGTGCGGGTAGATGTGTGCAAGTCCATTATGGAAGCCTTTATCAAGTGAGTGACCCCCGTGCCACGGGAAGTCTGGGTTCCTACACTCATGCGTGCTGCTCTGAGAAGGTGTCAGGTCATGCACTTTGAGGCCTGGTGATGTGTGCAGATCTCATGCCTGAATCCTGGGAAGGAAAACCACATTAGAAGCAGGCTTCATGATTAGAGTTTGTAATTGGTGCTTAAGAAAGCAATGAGCCGGTTTTGTGTGTGTGAGCCTCGCCAGCAGCGCCAGTTTTTTACCCTGCTGTGTTTTTGGAAGGCGGAATCTTGGGATGAACTGCCTGGGGAGTGATGTGTTAAAGTGAAAATAAAAGCCTGATTATGAAAGTCCCAGCACGAGGAAGGTGTTTAGATCCATAGCTGACTAACTTGAGTTCCTTTTGTCTTAAGACTTTCTCAAAACTGCCTACTTCTAGTGGTACATGAAATGATTTTAAGGTAGTACATGCAGGAAAGATCTTTATTTAATTTGCATTTATTTTTCAAAATCCAAGACATTAAGTTTTAAAAGTAGAACCTTATGCTAAGATCTTATTTAAACACAGGTACACACAGTAACTACCTACCAGAGTCTAATAATACCACATGCAGTATTCATTTTAGATATTTATTGAGAACCTACTATGTGCCACACATTGTTCTGGATATTGGAAAATCACCAGTCATCCAAAACTCATGCCCTCACTGGGCAAGATGGTACTATAATGCCAGCTACTCAGGAGCCCAGGAGTTCAAGATTAGCCTGGGCAAAATAATGAGGCCCCATCTCACAAAATAAGAAACACAACCCTGCCTTTTAGTGATGAGAGACCAAATGAAAGTCTAAACAATACATTGAGGTAGCAATAGCTATAGAATAAAGAAAAATGGAGGAAAGTGAAGAATAGTGACAAGAATATGTGAACCAGCATGAATATTCAAGTTATTGATTTTCAACGTATTTAATAATATATAACTTAATCTGATTTCATGGTTTTTGAGGACAAGGACATTAAAAAATTAAAGTTGCTTTAAATATTAAATATGTAGATATGGTCAAGTTTGGAAAATGAAGTTTGTTGCTGGGATATGATGTAATCTTGATATCTTTCTAAAAGAGTAATTCCTTTCTAAAGATTGGTATTATTAATGTACTTGGAACAGATATACCTCCTTCACTTACATAAAGCTTTATAGTAAGAGTTTATTAATAATTTTTAAAATATTTTTTTAGTTATAGATGAATTACCTTTATTTTACTTATTATTTTTTATGTGGTGCCAAGGATCAAACCCAGTGCCTTACACATGCCAGGCAAGCGCTCTACTACTGAGCCACAAACTCAGCCCCCAGATTAATGATTTTGCCTGTCACTTGTCACATCACATACAGATATAAGCAGAAGCAGCTTCAGACTTTGCGAGGAACATAATAAGAAAATAGGTTTGCCCTTTTCCTGGCTTAGGCTTAGGAAACGTCACATCTTTACCATGATTTTGCAGTTAGGAGAAATTATGTGTGCAAAAGAGCCAACTTGTTATTTAAAGAAAAACTATACAGCGAAGCCAGAATGTCGCCTGTACTGGTAAACTGGACTTTGTGAGACGGCAGCCAGCTCCTTTGCGGCTTCTCAGATATGTGGTAGACGAGAACTTGACCCACCCTTACATTTCCATCAGTGGACAGAGCATTGACCCTCACCTTTCAATGTCTCCTAGGCATCAGCAGGAGCCCACCAAGGACCCCGTCATTCTGAACGCCCTCTTGCACATCTGCAAGACCATGCACGACTCCGTGAAGTAAGCTGCACATGGCTGACCCTGCGTGGAGGGTTTTGGTGCCACCTAAGAGCACTAAAGGGAGACTGCTGTCAGAGGCCACCACAGAGAGCTTTACGGGGTCCATTAAGATTCTTGCTAGCGAGGAAGGAGGAAAGCAGGGAGGCAGAGGTTAACCTTGAGAATACAATGGCAGATGTTTTTACAAAGAAATTTCTGTTGGGAAAAAAGCCTGGTTTCATCCAACTGAAATCAAATTCCACGTCTCGGGGAGATGTCTGAGCAGAAGATAGTGTAACCATGAGCTTACTCATCCAATAACGTGGCCTTTTAATTTCATCTCATTATTAGCTAGTTATTTAAAATTCAAATGAAATTGCATTTCTTGTGTGAACAGCTCTATTTGCCCAGTGTAGTTGAAGCTCATTCAATCCCCTGGCCTTACCTTTAGGTCAAAGTCTGAACTACCAAGGCTTTGCTGTTTTGTTTAGGGTTTTTTTTTTTTTTTTTTCTTTAAATGCTTCATTTCCATTTGACTATGCTTAAAACAGTTCCTGCTTATTTGTGGCTGAAATCTTAGTCCCCAGAGAATTTTAGGCACAGCAGTTTGATTTACTGGAAAATGTTAACAAGAGTTAAGAAAATTGTTCCTGGAACTTCACTGTTAATAAGATGTGTCGTGTTTGCTCTTTTTAACTCTTAACTTTAGAATCTTTATTTCTATGGCTCTGTGCTTTCCAATTCATGAGTTATAAAAATCAAAATATCAAGAATATCATATTTATTTTTATAACAAATGGACCCTGATCAGCTTTAGTTTACAAGAATAGAATTAAAGGCACCGGAAGCATCCAGAGAGGCACTTTATGTTTACAAGATACTGGGTGTTGGCTTTCTAGATCAGGAGGTGAGGAAGGGGAGCTCCTCCTGGCACATCCTCTAGGCACCCAGTTCCTCTTGAGTGATGTCCTGTCTTCCTGCTGGAAGCTTGTGACCTCAATGTGTCTACATCCCAGCCTGTGGCATTGGAGGACAGCTGCTTTCTTTCAGGGACTTTGAAAGGGTCACCTCCCATTGTCACATGGAGTTGTAAAAGAAGCAGGAATGCTGTCTCAAAGAACAAAGGGACATTGCATCATGGAGGATGGTCATCCTTGGCCAAAACTTACTCCCCCCTAGAACATACCAAACAATAGCCTTCAGTCCTGTTTTCTCTGGGCTCTTAAATTTGTTTTTCCTTTTTTTACTTCTTGGATTTTTGTGTTTTTTTTGCAGTGCAGGGGGTTGAACCCAGGGGTATTCTACCACTGTGCTACCTCCCTAGCCCTCTGTTTTATTTTGAGACAGGGTCTCACTTGGTCACCAAAGCTGCCTTGAACTTGGAATCCTCCTGCCTCAGCCTCCTCAGTCACTGGGGCTATTAGGTGTGCACCACCACACCTGGCTCTTAAATTTTTAAAAAACAAATTTAAGAAACTATTTATAGGCCTTCACATGGATAATGAAAAATGTAAAGATTCAGCATTTTTAAAATATTTGTGTTAGTTGCTTCTATTTCATAGAAAATTTAAGATCTGACTTAATGTTATAATACTTCCCAGACTGAGGTAGATGGATGGGTGGAGGTGGGAATGGGCGTCTTGTGATGAAAGCACTGTAGGAGGGTGACGGTAGGACCTTGATGGTGGCTGTGTGGGTGCTTACTGGAAAGTTCTTAGATATATGGTGGACATATATTTCTCTGAAATACAAAATTTGACACTAGACCTTGCTACCTAAATTTTGAGGAGGAGAAAATTACCTTCTCCTTTCCTGTTCATAAATGTATCTTGAGAACAGCATCTTTGAGGGAGAAAAGCACTTTTAAATCATGTAAGTTTTGATTGCCATGGGGTGGAGCGCGTAAGGGGGTTTTAACCCAGGGGCTCTCCACCACTGAGGCTTATCCTTTTTATTTATTTAAAAAGGCTATAGCTCTTTTTATTTATTATTTTGAGATAGGGTCTCAAATTTGGAATCCTCCTGCCTCTGCCTCTCAAATTCTGGGATGACACGCATGCACCACCATTCCTTGCCTGATTGCATATTTTTATCCAAAGAAAAATGCGCGTCTCGTTGGAAGTTTTTGAAATTTAGAAAATGCAAAATATTATCTCCTATTGAATTGCTTACTTTTGCTCATGTATTTTTTCCTTTAGAAACTTTCATTTATTACCTCAGTGTTAATTATGTACAATTATTGATTTTAGTGCACTCACTCTTGAGGATGAGAAGAGAATGCTGGCACATTTGATTAATGGATTTATAAAAATGGTAAGTTTGAGGGTAGATGTTGTAGCACATTTGGAAATGTGATGTAATTGTTTATCCCCGTGCTGGTGAAAGCAGTTTGTTATGTTTCCTGGTGTTTTTTATTTTTACTGAGATAAGATGAAATTAGAAAGCATCTTACTTTAGCCAGGACTCCCCTGGGGGCAAAGAGAGCCAAGACACACTGGCCTCAGAAAAAAACAAAGAGGGAGATTGGAGAGGGATCTGTTGGCCCATGTGGCTAAAGTCGAGGTGTGGTCCTCCAGGGGAGCAGTGGCCCCAGGATTCCATGATGTCACGGCGCCCCGCCGTCTGGGTCCGTCTATGGCTCTGTGCTCTGCTCTGACTCCTCCTGGATGTTCTCCAAGGGCTCTGTATTTGCATCCCTCCACTCACCTGCAGCTCAGCAGGAGGGTCTCCAGCAGATGCCCTGGATTAGCTTGGGTCATGGGGGACATCTGCACACCTGAATGGTCGGGATCCTGGGGTCCAAGAGCAGAAAGGAGCAGCTCCTTGAAGCTCCTGTGTCCCGATGATCAGATGATGGCAGGGTTGTGCCGGGTGGGTGGTGTCTCCCCGTCTGTTGGACTCACGTGCTGTAGACAGTTCATCCCAATGTGCTGTGGTTTTAGTTCTGCTGGTTTACTAGTTGTTAGGATCTGTGGGTGGCTGGTAACCAGGCTGCTCTAGGTGGTGGCGACTCCTTTAGCAAGATGGGGCAGGAGGATCCAGGCTCTGCTTGCTTGCCCTTGCCCTGGTCCTGGCTGTTGTCTGGAGCTTTCCACTTTTCTCCCTGTGGCCCCTTTCTTCCCTCGTCACCCCGTAGTCCAGTTGAGCTCTCTTACATGGTGTTGACTTCCATGGGGGCCAGATGGAAGCTGCAAGGCCTGAAGGCGAGGCTTAGAGATTACACAATGAGCCTCTGCTGCATTCCACTGTGTTCTGTAGGTCAGAGCTAGTTAACAGGCCGCTGATGGAGGGGAGAAGCAGCATCCATGGGACCTTGCCCAGGGCCAGTCAGTGGGAGGGATTATCGCAGCCTGTGTTGGAAATAGCCCACCATCACCCCTTCCAGCCTGGATGGTCTTTGCCTCTTTGCTCAGAGCTAAAAACCAGCTGTGCACCACCAGTTTTGTTTTAAAGGTAGTCTCACTTTGCCGCCCAGCCTGGCCTTGAACTTCTGGGCTCCAGCAGTCCTCCTGCCTCAGCTCCTCAGTAGCTGGGCCATTCGCACACATCACTGTGCCTGGCTCCATATCTTCTATTTTAATAGAAATGTCAGAACCTAAAAAGATGAGATCACTTTGAAAATAGCCCTGAGACTGTATGTGCTTCGGCATGGGTTCATTTAACTGCCCACCGGATTCTGTGGGTAAAATATCAATTTTGATGAAAATTTAGGACTGGCCTTTCAGTTCCCACCTGGAAAACGTACCTGCAGGTTTTTACCCAGTGACTTGCTTTTGCCCTGGTTTATGCTGTGTGCTGATTGGCTGGTATGTATCCTTTTATGGCTTTGTCTGAAAGTCACCGAGTTAAAAAGAGAATATGAGGAAATAAGATGTGAAACCTGATAGCTACAATGGAAATGGCAAAGTCAACCCTCTCTGGGCCAGGATGATTGATCTAGCAGTAAAATTTCTCCTACTAACCAGCTGTTCATAAATTCCAAGAAAAAGAAGAGGGGAGTTCTTATGGTGGAGAAAGTTCCTTCTGTGACTCGGGCAGCCACTGGTGATCTGCTGAGGTCGGATCCCACTCAGGAAGCAGAAGGGTGGGGCCCTTATTAGGGAAAAGCTCCCTGACAAATGGCTCCCAAGAACCAAATTTATGTTCTGTGGAAAAGCCACAGCTGGCCGACAAAACGCCCTGATTTTCTTCCGAGCGGTTTCCCTCCATACCTGGAAAATCCTGTTTACCTTTGGAGCTGCTGTTGTATGCCCTTTGACCTCCTGTGTTCTTGCCTGATGCCCTTGCCATGGGCTGAGATTGTAATAATAGCGCAGTGATTGTCGGGCTGGAGTAGTGGGAAGCTTTTCTAGTTGTGTGCTACCCTTCCCTCTGAGGATGGCATTGTCCCTTTTAGTGTCTTTCTCCTTGATTCTAGGTTTCCTTTGGCCGTGATTTTGAACAGCAGCTGAGTTTTTACGTTGAGTCCAGGTCGATGTTTTGCAATCTGGAGCCTGTGCTTGTGCAGTTGATTCATGTAAGGATTTTCAATTTTTTTTGTCCTCAATAAATCTTTATTGATTATCTGTGTGCCGCACACACCAGTCTTAACCTGGGATTCTTCTGGCCCATGTTGCTACTGTTCTCCTGGGTCTGAAAGGTAATTTCTCATGGATTAATCAAATCTACACTTTGTGTAGATTCTGGTGCTCTGAGCACCAAGACTAAAGGTGGACTTACTGACCTCTTTTTCTCTGAAAATTGCATATTATTGTTTCCGCATTGCCAACAACAGAGGTAAGCAGTTTCACTGAGTTACGGAGATAGTATCCCAGAGTCCCTTCTTGCCCAACCTTCAAGTCCCAGTTTTCTCAGATTATGGCCTCTCACAGTAACTTGATAGTCCCTGGGCCCAGAGACATAGTAGCAGTTTTGTTTATTATGAAGTTAGGTTCAGATAAATTTAGTATACATGGCTTAACAACTCGGTAGCTATTTAAAATAGTATCTATAAATTGAAAGAAAAATATTTTTATTTGTTCCTTAGCCATAATTATTTACCAATGAAGTGCTTGTACTTCTTGAGAGCACTGCACAATTTCCCAACCATGGAATCAGATACTGCTACCCTTATTTTCTGTTTCTAATTGATTTTTTTTTAACTCTTGCATGGTATTTGCTTTTTATCATCATCATTGGCAAGAGCCCAGTTTTGCAAATGTCTAATGTGGCTGCAGGGATGAGAGGCAGACAGTCCAGTGTTGAGTTGTGAGCTACCCCACACCAACCTTTTGCACGGTGTTCAGCAGTTGCTGTTTCCCTAAATACTGTGGTGCCCCGTGGCTGCTGCAGCCCCCTGGGATGCCATGTGCACGGTTTGGAAATAGTAGGTAGAATTTTCCTACATTCCCACAAACGCTTCCTTCAGGCTCTTTGATTGCTACATGTCTGTTCGAGGAGAATAGCCTTTTATGCATTTGTTTCCTCTAGTTAGGTTGCTCAGCACAAATAAACTTAACTATATATAGAGACTGAAAAATGGAGGTAATACACCCACCCCATGTGTATATAAGAATCACATGAGTGAGTGTGCTCTAGCTGGCCGGGAGCCACCGTTCTTGCTGTTCTGATTGTTAGTACTGTGGAGCTAAAGCGGATAGTTTGCTCTTACATTTGGAGGTTTCTTGAAGTTCTCTACCATCTTAAGCTTAGAATGTGGGGTTTCTGGAAGTGGAGTAAGTGAACCCATTGGATCAGGAAAGTGGCCATCCTGTTGGCCCCCGTGGCACTTGAGGGTTCAGTGCTCACCAGTCTTGGACCACGTGGCCTGTTTGTATGGACGTTTGAGTTAATGCCCTCATCTCTGCACTGGCTGTCATCTCATTACCATTTCTGTTTTATTTCTTAACAAATCAGAGTGTGAACCGGTTGGCCATGGAAACAAGAAAGGTAATGAAAGGAAATCATTCCAGAAAGACGGCGGCCTTTGTCCGGGTACGTTGTGAAGATGAGGACTTGTAGACTTCCACCTCTGGTGGGTTATTCAGTTGGGAGGTTACTAAGTTGTTCCCAGAGAAAGACAAGGATGTCGTGGTAAGGCTGGTTTAATACTGAAATTTCAGCTTGATTTTTCCCTGAATATTTATGGGTTGATCCATTTTCTTATTTTAAAAAGAAATGCTCAAAGGAGTCTGAATTTTAGTACAAGTTGAGCATCTCCAATCCACAGATCCAAAATACTCCAGAATCTGAGACTTTTTAAGTACCAACATGTAATACCACAAATGGAACATTCTGCACCAACGTTCATGCACAAAATCACTTAAAACATTACCTTCAGGCTGTGTGTATAAGTGCATATGAGACCTAAGTGAACTTAGGTTTACCTTTGGGTCCCATTTCAAGGTAGCCTCATTTTATATATGCCAGCGTTCCAAAATCCAGGGAACTAGGAAATGTGAAGCACCTCTGGGCCTGAGCATTTCAGATAAGAGACTTTCAACCTGTGTGCTTTGAGGAGGCTGGTGGGAGATGGATTTTCATTTTTGTATGCCAGCTGAATTGCCTCTAATTTTTATCTACTATAATATTATAATGTTATTTCTCTCTTAATAAGACTTTATATGTAATACCATGCCTATAACTGGTAATCTTAGTACATTTTTTTCCTCTTGGTCAGAGTTTGGCTCAGGTTTGAAAATAAATTTCAGCTTCTTTTTTTTTTTTTTTTTTAAGAGAGAGAGAGAGAGAACCTTAATATTTATTTTTTAGTCCTCAGCGGACACAACATCTTTGTTTGTATGTGGTGCTGAGGATCGAACCCGGGCCGCACGCACGCAAGGCAAGCGCGCTACCGCTTGAGCCACATCTCCAGCCCCTAAATTTCAGCTTCTTGAATGCATTGCTCAAAATTTTATCAAAGCAACACTCATCTGTGGCTTTAAAAATGAAGTCATGCCACAATGATCACGTTGAAAGATAAGCATCCCAGCCTGCCTCTTTGAACCTAAGGCCTCCCAGAGCCAGCCGCCCTTGGGCTCTTCCCACCAATCTCTTCTTTGTTCGCATTTCTAAGTTTGGTTTAACGGTCGCTTTGTGATTTACCCACGTTCAGTATTATCTGCATACTTCCTGCAGTGATGGAGGAGGAATTATTTTTCCTATGCCATCCTCCTCTGAGGTCCCCCTTTGCATCTTCCCGAGGGTCATGAGAGAGCGAGTGGCAAGGCAAGCGGGAAGAGCCAGTGGGGAGGGGGTCGTGGTTCATCTTTGCCTGGAAATGTGAGGGCCAAACACAAGAATGTCAGTCTCACCTGCGTCCCTCCCTTCTTCCCAGGCCTGTGTTGCCTACTGCTTCATCACCATCCCCTCCCTGGTGGGCATCTTCACCCGGCTCAACCTCTACCTGCACTCTGGCCAGGTTGCCTTGGCTAACCAGTGCCTCTCCCAAGGTAAGCCTGCCATCCCTCTCCCTGAGCGCTGCCCGGCTGCTCAGGAGAGCTGGCTCCGGTGTGTGTGTGTGTGTATTGGGGGGGGGGGGGTTCTTTCTGGAGGAAAGTGATCAATAAATGCTCTCTTAAGCCTGTTTCTTTAGTAGGTGCTTGTCAGCTACCCACCTGTTTGCTGTAGAGCAGAGAGATTTCCCTGGAAAAATCCTCTCAGACCCAGCTCAGGCAGCTGAGCCCAGCTAGAGAATCTGAGAGATTAGCCCTGCTTGGCTACCCTAGTTTTATCTTTGCTTTGGTTGTTGATATTTGTTCCTCTATTTGCAACCCTAGTATTCTACTTGCGTGCCTCTATCTGTGTACAAGGATAGCCGCTTGCTGTTATGGGTAAAACTTTTGCTCTGGGAGGCCCAGAAGCATGCCCAGGGATGGGTGGGAGGGGCTTATCTGAGAGGCCACCCCAGCGATGATCAGAGGGTGAAGGGCCAGCAGAGCATGCACGGTGCTCTCTCCCAGACATGAGTGTCTAGGAGGTGGCGTGAGACACACCTCTGTGCTACTCTTCCTGAGGGGTGAAGAGGACAGGTTCTTTACCATTTAGTGCCACCTGTCATCAGCTGTGCACTGATCTGGGACATTGGCTTCCTGGCACACTCTGGCTTGCCCCACACCTGAGCCAAGAGAATATCTTCAGGTGGAGAGTCGCAGGGATTTGGTGCAGGACGCCCTGGTCACCCATGTCAGTGGCATGTGCCAGGTGCTGCAGGCAGAACCCAGGCAGGTTGGTGGCAGGGTCTCCGTCCAGCAGGCCAGGCAGAGAGCTGGAGAAACCCCAGGCAGCGTCAGTTGTGTGGCAGGCCCTCTGCACACGCCTCTCCTTCACCCTCCAGCAGCCACATGAGGCTGCCCCCACGCCTGGTGTCGGCCCTCATGCCCAGTGTCGCCCCCACGCCCGGTGTCGCTTGCCCGGGTGAGGAAACAGGCAGAGCCTGGGGAAGAAGCTGGCTGGCTGGACCCACCAGGGAGTCTGTGAGCCAGTGCTCAGACCCTGATGGACCCTCAGCCCTGCCCTTCAACCAGTAGGTACGCGGGGCACACCTGCTGGCCAGCAGTTGGGGAGCTTCCCTGACTGGGGGGGTCCCGGGCTCCACTGAGTGGGGTAGACGGGGTGGCTCCGCCCCGCCCCAGCCTTGGGGGGGAGGTTTGCTGCTGTTGCTTCAGCACTTACTGCATCCACTTAGGTGGCTCTCCTGGGTCTGGTGGGGAGTGGGGTCTCTCACTCCTCGGTTCTTTGGGTCCTTGACGTGGCTGTTCTGGTATCATCTGCATCTTAATTCAAACACAGGACTCTGGCTCTCAAAGCCTTCAGACATGGGTGCCCTCCAGGAATCCCTTCAGTCTGCTCGGTTTTGCTGTCAGCTCTGGGGACTCCAGCTGTTTCCCGACATATTTGGAATTAAACCCCGTGTCCCTGAGTTAGCCATGTGGGCCTTTTGATGTTCTTTGAAATAAGCTGCCTCCCAATTCAGAGCCTTTGCACTGGCTGTTCCCTCTTTCTAGAATGTTCTGACACAGCCCCCTACCCTCGCCAGCATGCTGTGACCTCGCGCTCATTATCGTCGTGGCTCATGAGCTGACTTTTCTTACTGTTGGTTTTCTTACTGATCCTGGACACCCCCCTCTGCCTAGGACAGACACCTGTCCTCGCTGTGTTGGTACATGTGGGACTTTCTTCTAGACTTGGCTTTACTAAGGACGATGGGGTAGCAAGAAACAAAACAGCAGTGAACAGCTGCCATCAAACACCTGAAGAAGGGAAAATGGAAATTAGGAGGCACTTCCTTCGAGGTTAGAAGTTTCAAGTCTTATGGGCCGTTTCCCTCTTCAGGAATGGCCACCTGGGGGCCTTCTGTGTTCGATTCCGCCTGCAGCATGACGGGCAGATTGTGCACTGCACGTGCAGGCTCTGGAGGCCTAGAAATTTCTCCTGCCAACTTGATGAAATCAGAACTGACTTTGAATGTTGCAGATTTTGAACAGATTTATGACTGGAGCCCCTCAGTGCTTCACGCTTCCAGGGAAAAAAGCACAGCAAAAGTTCTCAAGCCAAATGCTTCTCTGTCATCTGAGGATCTGCTGAGGCTGCTGGGCATGGTGACGTACTCCTAGCAATTCTGGAAGCAGAGGCAGGAGGATTGCAAGTTTGGAGGCTCCTGGGCAACTTGGCAAGACTGAAAATTTTTTTCAAAGGCTGGGATGTAGCTCAGTGGTAGAGCAATGCTTAGCATGATCGAGCCCTGAGTTCAAGCCCTGCTACTGCCAAAAAAAAAAAAAAAAGATTTTCTGTTCCAAGAACTATTTGCAGAGATATTCTCCCTGCCCTGCTCCCTGTGGTGCCCTGGTCCACACCAAGGGACCGCCGTGGAAGGCCAGCCCCATACTTCGCACACAGACAGTGGCCATCTTGTAAAACTCTGGGTTCCCCGTCGGCCTCGCCCCTGGCCTTTAAGCTGCTGCCAGGGGGTAGGAATGTGGTGTCCATGTTTAAAAATTTATCTGATGACTCTTACTTGAGTCCCTAAATGCTGGGGTACTAACCTTAAAAGCCTATTATTGCTGTTCTGAAAGCCACGTGTAGCAATTGCTGGCCAAAATAAATAATGTGTTCAATTACTGAGAAGGGGAAGGCTAAATATAAATTAAGTGGAGCTTGTGGGAATGGGCCACTTCTGTTTGTCCAGGCACATCCTGGTTTAAAACCTCCCTGAGCTATTTCCTTGCCTTCCTCAATCCAGCCGGATGCCATCTCCCCCATCACACTCAGCTTTGCTGGGTCTGGGTCCAGCCCAACAAAGACACCCCTAGGACCCTAGGCAGGCCCGTGGGGGACACTGATGCAGGCACAGTGTGAGGCGGGCCCAGCTGTGTTCCCTGTGTGCACTGGTGCTGTGGCCGGTGGCATCCCTGGGACCTGCTGTAGTCTCACCTGTCACCCAGCAAACTCCAGAGAAGGAGGACTTGACACCGTTGTTTGGGCATTGCTTCTCTCCCGGAGGTAGCCCAGAAATGCCTTTTTATCTTTTCTTCCAGCCTTTATACCAGATAACTTCTTGGCCATGTTTGTCAGTGGCTCTTTCCCAGGCCCCAGCAAGAGCAGATTCTTTTGCCCTGTGTTTTTACCTTTATTTCCTTATCTCTCCTGTTTGTGATCTCAGGAGATAGGGGAGTTGTGAAGTCAACCAACCACAGACGGAAAATACTTGGGGTGGTTGCATCTGTGCCATCCATCCACAGACTTTCGTCTCGTCATGCCCATAGTGTTAACCTTACATTAGATGTTATGAGTGATAACATCTGGTGATGACGTGAAGCATATGGAAGGTATGCATAGGTTATGTGTAAATATGACACCATTTTATATAAGGGACTTGAGCATTTTTGGATTTTGGTGTCTTCAGGGGTCCTGGAACCAGTTCCCTGCAGATACGTAAAGTTAGGTCAGTTTATCACATGAGACGTGCCATCCTGACGCCCTCTGTACCCTTCATGGCCCTCCTCGCTGCGGTTAACAGGTAGTGTGTACACACAGTCTGCCATCCCCCAGCACCAGCTCCAGGAGTCCCATCTGTCTGGCTTGCTCTTGTGTCTCTGGCTCCTGGCATGTCACCCACCCTGTGGATGCTCAGTTGAGTGCTAAGCGAAATGGGTGGTGACTGTCGGGTAATCAGTAGAATTCTCAACACTGAAAAGTAAAATGGCAACCTTTCACAGCAGAGGACAGAAGTACTAAGCAGTAAGTACTCAGAAGAGGGTCCTCAAAGCTGCTTAGTAGGATTGAATAACTTCATATTTATAGAGACACCAGTCAGGTTCCAGCATGTGCTCAGGCTCGTGGACACATTAAACCAAGGAGCTGTGCTGCTTTGACCCGCGAGCAACATAGGAAGCTCAGAGCAATTGCTGGAGGCCCCATCAGGAAGCTCTGGCTACAGGAAGTGCCAGGGACGGCAGAACAGCAGAGAAGAACTTCGCGTTTCCTCTTCCAGAGAGCAAAGGGAGGCTCGTAAGGAGAAAAATGGTTTCCAGAGAGTTACTGAGTCCTTGGGGTTTGTATTTAAGGTCTTGGGTAAGAACATCCTCTGAAGAGTGAGCTTGATGCGACCATTTGCTCAAACCCTGAGCCACCTGGTGAGTGCACGCCCAGTTGGTTATTTTAGCTGGAACAGTCAAAGGTGGGCAGATGACACAAAGCTTGTCCTGCACCTTCACGTCTGTGAATTGTGGTCCAGACTCCTTAGGCTGTGCAGGGGCCTGGGCTGGATGGCAGCCCTGCTGCAGCCCACAGAAGGTGGGTGCCATGAGTCTCCCCCAGAAGCTCTCTCAACTTACAAGAGTGGGTGGCTCCGATTTCCCTCCTCCTGCCGCCATTTCTTGGTCATTTTTCTTATGCGATCCTCTGTGCCAAGCCTTGTGCCAGAAACGAGAACCCACTTAGAGTCTGTGCTGGAGGGGCGGCAGATCTGTCTACCAGTTGTGCAGGTGACTTGGTAATGCCACGCAACATACCTGTGAAATGTGCCAGGGTACTTCAGAGAGAAGTGGCCCTTGGCTTAGAAGAGCACAGAGCCTGGGAGGGGAGCAGGTCTGGATGTGCCACAGTGAGTCCAGGGCATTCTAGGCTGAGTGAAGGCCTGGAGGTGGGGAGCAGTTCTTCTAGAAGGAAAGAGTGGATCCAGTTAATTGCACAGATCTGAACTCTGGCAAAACAGTTTTACACTGTACATGTCGTTAGGTCGTTTATATTTGGTTTACAGATGAGGAAACTGAGGCTCGTGACTTGCCCAGGAGTGTTTGGCTACTGAGTGGCCTTTCCTCACGTGAGGTGTTCTTGACCACCGTCCCTCTTGGGGTTGGGCTCGTGCCTCTGTACCTTAATATAAAGTCTCGTTTCTAACCCCAGGTATGTGTGGTGCTAACCACCAGTTGTTATGGATTGAGTACTAGAT